AGTAAAAAGAAAGAGGTGATAATTTTAATAATAAATCTTATTCTTTAACCCAATATATGCAAAAAATAGTAATCAATATAAAAATATTAATTGGCTATATTTTTTTTCTTACCCAGTCTTCAAAAATCGCTATGTATTTTGCACTTAAAGACAGCACATTTCAACTCGGAAGGGAAATTTTCATTGGAAAAACAATCCGTATTTAGATTTCATAAAATTTACAATTGAAAAAGTAGATTCAATAGCCAAGTTGTTTCAAATGCACTGAAACCTTCTCCAATGCTTATTAAGTATCCATTTAAAAATTTCCACTCATTTATTAATTTTATTTCAATTGATTTTTTAATTAAAACTAAATTTGAAAATGCAGTTTCTTAGAGAAACTAGCCAAGTTCAAGTGCTCAGTAGTGCGTGGCTACCGAATGAACCTCGCAAGACACAAGAACCCCTTTCTGAAGCCAAGACTTCATCCCAGGATTCAAATGATCCCAAAGATTCTTCAAGAGTTGGAAGTTTACAAAGAAAGGAAGGGAGGAAAGAACCATCAGAATTTAATCCCTTCAAAAAAGGCCTGGCTTTAGAAAGAGGCCAGGGGAACGACAGGAAGCGAGTATGGAAAGTCAGGTATAGCTGCAGTTTCGTTGAGGCGTAAAACGGATACACAGCGCGCTGTAGCTCCGGCTCAGAAAAGTTTTTCGTAGAAGGAAACAAAACACTTGCGTTGGCCGGGAATCGAACCCGGGTCAACTGCTTGGAAGGCAGCTATGCTCACCACTATACCACCAACGCTCCTGAATAAGGGGTTTTAGAAATCTATATATAAGATAAGCAAAGAGTATGACTTTCCCGACCGTTCTAGCAGTATCTTGTGTTTATGATCCTGAGGTTAAATACGCTAAGCCCTCACTTGGTGAGAACCGATTCTTATGACTCGGCCCCGCCTACAAATGGCGGGGGCTATGGACGCAGAAGCCACTGGCTCTGGAAGCCTCAGGGCGGGGCCGGCTGACATCCCAAAGAGAAAGCCGGAGTTGAGCACCGCCGGGTGATTTTCCTCTGCAGTCTTCTCTTACACCTGCTCTCCTCACGTCCCGTAGCTCCCAGCTCCGCAGCTGCTCGAGACTCCGCACTGGATCCGCCGGCTGTCGGATTCAGCAACAGCGATTAGTGCCGAGGATGCGAGGGAGACGGGCCGGCTCAGGATCTACCTTGACATGGCTCGACCCCTCTAGAGAAGTAGAGGGGCGCTCGAATAGTCCCCAGGGAAAATGGAAGCTTAAGGTTTAGTTTGGGTAGTGAGGAAGTAGGAAAGAGGAAAGAGCTGTCGGAGCCTGTTTTATTTTTTCCGCTTTGCGACAGGGTCTAGAGAGAGTTAGACTCTTGTTTGAAACACTAAACAGACACAGTAATGTGACCTTATAGCGTGCACCATCAGTATATGATAAAATTAGGAGAAATTAGGAAACACCATCTAGCGGGTGTCAGGATGGCCGAGCGGTCTAAGGCGCTGCGTTCAGGTCGCAGTCTCCCCTGGAGGCGTGGGTTCGAATCCCACTTCTGACAATGTATGTTTTTGTCCTTTTCCTCTTGATATAAACCAACTAGGAATTATGCTTGAATTCGTAGAGAAAGACTTTTCAATCGATCGACATTGCGTTTTATCCTGGGTATCTACATTTACGAAAATTATTTGTGCTGCTCTGCACATATAGAACTAAATCTATTTTTTCTGTATTGTAGGCTAGAGTCTGGTCTATGAAATCAGGGAGCAGTTGAGACTAAGATTAACTTTGCACTCCAACTTCCCAGTGTCAATTTATCCATTCCTTTATTCGACAACAATGTGTTGAGCCCTTTCTCTGCGTCAAGCACACTAAGGCAGGCAGATACCATCTCCTTTGACTAAACAACAGAACGTTGTTTAGGATCATTTAATTTGCCGTACAGTCTTAGTCTGAGTTTTTTCTTTTTTAACGCTAACGCAGTAGTGTCAAACTTTGATAAGGATCAGATTCTCCACCGCGTTGCCCCGCCTCCCCGCTTTTTTTTTTTTTTTTTTTTTTTTTTTTTAAGACAGGGTCTCACTCTGTACCCCAGGCTGGAGTACGGTGGCGCGATCTCGGCTCACTGCAGCCTCCGTCTTCTGGGTTCATGCGGTTCTCGCGCCTCAGCCTCCCAAGTACCAGGGGTTCGCGCCTGTAGTCCCAGCTACTCCCGGAGCCTGAGGCGAATCTCTTGAGCCCAGGAGGCAGAGGTTGCAGTGAGCCGAGATCGTGCCACTGCACTCCAGCCTGGGGTACAGCGTAAGACCCTGTGTCAAAAAAAAAAAAAAAAAAAAAAAAGTAAAATCTGAATAAAATCTACAGTTAGTCATTAATGTTATACCAATGCCAATTTCTTAGGTTTGATAAATATAACATGGTTATGTAAGATTTTAACATTAGGGGAAGTAGGAAGGATATAGAGTAACTTTATGTAGTATCTTTGCAACTCGTCTGTTCATCTAAAATTATTGCAAAATCAAAAATTCTTTTAAAAAACCAACAACTTGAAAGTGCTTGCCTATGAGGAGTAGGACCTGGGAATGGGGCAAGAAACTGCTTGTACCAAGAATTGATTTTTTAGTAATGGGCATGTGTTCTGATTTAATTTGTTCAAACCTCCCCCCCGCCTTTGGAACTGGATGACATCGTCGTGATTACAATAATCAAACTAAGACTACATACAACATAAGGATTTTTAGATACTTAGTATACAGGAAACAGTCCCCAAAGAAACTAAACCAAAATGATCAACAGAGATTTAAAAGTAAATGAAGTTTAACTCTCTACATAGAAGAATAGATTGCACTCAACTGGGAGGATCTGAGATGTCACAACTAAACACGATAAAAATCTTTCTTCTTATATTCTGTGTATGTTGGGTTTTTTAAAAGGAGAAAGAGGCATGCTATCAAAATACTGAGAAACTATATAAAAGTGAGTACCATCAATCCTCTTCAGAAGTTCAAACAGGTTGAGGGGGTCAATGTTGAGTTGAGATGAGGTTCAGGAAAGGGAGAATGTAATGCAGGGTGTACGTGTTACTCCAGCTCTCTCTCTTTTTTTTTTTTTTTTTTTTTTTCAGGTTCCTTCCATATGAAGCCAGGTTGCATAAGACTTGGGCCAGGGCCAGGAAAAGAGGGCAGTTAAAAATGTGAAATGACAGCCAGAGACAAGTGCATTGTTAGTGTAACCTTCTCCCCATCTTTAAATAATCAACCTAAGAAATATAATGTATAAGGTAGCATTGTTCTAGCCCATAATTTCTCTCCCATAATTTCTGAGATAAAAATAAATCTCCCATTGTGCATAGGGCAAATATACTATGGATTGGATTGTTTGGGAACTAACACAAGTTTATCCTTCTGATTATTTTGTTTACACCAACAAAGCAAAGGCAAATATCCTTGCTTTTATATTGTCATTGACTCAACTGGCAGTAAAGTTGTGCCTGAGGATATTTTGCAAGTTCAGTCACTTGCTATAAAAAACACACAACTAGCTGGGCGTGGTGGCTCACACCTGTAATCCCAGCACTTTGGGAGGCTGAGGCAGGCAGATCACCTGAGGTCAGGAGTTTGAGACCAGCCTGACCAATATTGTCCCATCTCTAATAAAAATACAAAAATTAGCTGGGGGTGATGGCGGGCGCCTGTAATCCCAGCTACTCAGGAGGCTGAGGCAGAAGAATCGGTTGAACCCGGGAGGCAGAGGTTGCAGTGAGCCGAGATTGTGGCACTGCACTCTAGCTTAGGCGACAGAGCAAGACTCCATCTCTGCAAATATACAATAAAATGCACACTTTTTCTCACGTGGCTCAGCATCCAACTGTATTTCAAAGGCATAATATATCCAATTGCAAAAAATCTAGGGGAAGGTCTGATAATAAGTGGAATTATGGCCTATTTGTAAGGTGGCATACTCAGGCTCTAGAATTAGACAGGACAGAGTTCTTCATTCCAGCCTTCCCTTCCCCTGTCCCCACTTAATAGCTTTGTGTCTTTGAATAAATTGTTTAACCTCTTTGAACCTCATAATCCTCATATTCAAAAAGAAGACAGTATTCCATAATGCTGCTGTGAAGATTAAGTTAGATTGTGTATGTCAAGTACCTGGTACATAGTTAACATCCGACTAACAATTAATAGTAATTGCTAATGTTTGTTGATAGTATATTATATGCCTGACATTCTTCTTTGCCTCTTACATGTATTAATTAATTGAACCCTCACAACAATCTGGAGGTTGGTACTGTTATCATCATCATCCCAACTGCAGGGAAGGGGAAACTCAAACTTGGAGAGTTTAATTTGCACAGTATATAAAGTGGCAGGGCTGAAAATCTATAGTCTTGTTCCAACATCCTCATTATGCCATGGGCAGAAACCAGATGGGATCATAATATTTCTCTGACATGAAGTCAATAGTAACTTTAATCATACCACCAGACCTACTTCCTCTGACATATACCATCCTCCAGAGTCCAGGACTCAAGGTCTTTTCTCTAAAAGAACAATGGATAAAGTGACATGATTAGAAACAGCTAATAAGCATGTAAACTATTTGTTAGTGTTACTAAAACACCTAGACTGACAAACTAAACCAGTATCCTATGACAAAAATACAGAATTTGTATCATAGGATCACATATGGAAACCTTGCCAGTACTTAAGTTTCTCCTCATTCTCTGCTTTTCCAATTCCACATCTCTCCCTCTCTTCCTGCATTGTAAGTCTCAATCCTCTCCTCTTTATCAGCCCTAACTCTTCAGTACTGTCCCAATGTGTTGACCTCAAACTCCTTTCCAAATCATGCCTTCCACTATAGAAATCATGCACATGGTCTCAGGAATATTCTTCACATTTCTCCTTCAGCACCCACCCCAACATTTTCTGCTTCTGAAAGCCTTTGTGTACTTTTGTACTTTGATTGGTTGGAATGAAAAGTGCCACACGAGCATTAATAAATTAATGAGTTTTTATTTGAAGCAGAAGAGGACGAACTTCCCTCCCCTCAGAAAGTCAAAAGCCTTCAGTTATGAAACATCCTGGGAAGAAAGTTCTAGCTTTGGAGAGAAGACCCCCCAGCCCTTCATCTCTGAAGGGTAGGATCATAGAAGACAGTCTAGAAGGCCCATACCACAGCCCTGAGATTCACAGCTGACTTACCACGAAGGACCATTCAATCAACCTCCTCAATGATGGGGCCGGTGCTGGGGTCCCCCTGACGGGCTTGAGCGCCACAACTGCTGCTCCCAGGGACACCAGGCCCTCCATAGAGCCTGGAGAAGATGGGGTGACAGATTTGCTCCAGCTCCCTCTTCTGATGCTCATACTCCTCCTTCTCTGCCAGCTGATTGTGCTCCAGCCAGGCAAGGACTTCCTGACACTTGTCTTGCACATTGCGCCTGTCCTCTTCGGGAATCTTGTCCCTAAGGCTTTCCTCTTGCACAGAACCTTTCACAAGGAAGACATGGGCCTCCAGCGAGTTTTTGGCGGACACTCTGTCCCTCTGGGCCTCATCCTCAGCCTTGTACTGCTCGGCTTCATGAACCATCCTCTCCACCTCCTCCTTGCTCAGCCGGCCCTTGTCATTGGTGATGGTGATCTTGTTATCCTTACCTGTGCTCCTGTCGGTAACTGTCACGCTCAGGATGCCATTAGCATCAATGTCAAAGGTCACCTCTATCTGGGGGACTCCACGTGGGGCAGGAGGGATGCCACTGAGTTCCAAACGCCCCAGCAGGTTGTTGTCCTTGGTCATGGCCCTCTCACCCTCATACACCTGGATGAAGACCCCAGGCTGGTTGTCCGAGTAGGTGGTGAAAGTCTGGGTCTGTATGGTGGGGATAGTGGCGTTCCTCTGGATCAGCGTGGTCATCACCCCACCTGCTGTCTCCAGTCCCAGAGACAGGGGAGCCACATCCAGCAGCAGGAGATCCTGTACTTTCTCACACTTGTCCCCCATCAACATGGCCACCTGCACAGCAGCCCCATAAGCCACAGCCTCATCAGGGTTGATGCTCTTGTCGAGCTCTTTGCCGCTGAAGAAGTCCTGCAGCAACTTCTGCACCTTGGGGATGCGAGTGGAGTCCCCCACCAGGACGACGTCATGAATCTGGACCTTGTCCAGGTTGGCATCACGCAGGGCCTTCCCCACCGGCTCCAGGGTACTGCGGAAGAGGTCTGAGCACAGTTCCTAAAAGCGCGCACGAGTGATGGACGTGTAGAAGTCCACGCCCTCCAACAGGGAGTCTATCTCCAGGGTGGCCTGGGTGCTGGAGGACAGGGTGCTCTTGGCTGGCTCACAGGCTGTGCGCAGCCTGCGCAGGGCCCGCTTGTTCCCACTTAGGTTCTTCCCATGCTTCCGCCGGAATTCTTCCATGAAGTGGTTCACCAGCCGGTTGTCGAAGTCTTCTCCACCCAGGTGGGTATCTCCAGCAGTGGCTTTCACCTCAAAGACACCGGCGTCAATGGAGAGAACCGACACGTTGAAGGTGCCCCCACCCAGATCAAAAATGAGCACACTGCGCTCTGCCGCGCCCCGCCGGTCCAGCCCACAGGCGATGGCGGCCGCCGTGGGCTCATTGATGATCCGCAGCACGTTGAGCCCCGCGATGGCCCCCGCGTCCTTGGTGGCCTGGCGCTGCGTGTCATTTAAGTAGGCGGGCACGGTGATCACCGTGTGCTTCACGGGCTGGCCCAGATAGGCCTCGGCTGTCTCCTTCATCTTGCTCAGCACCATGGACGAGATCTCCTCGGGGTAGAACGTCTTGTCCTCCCCGCGGTAGGACACCCGCACCTTGGGCTTGCCGCCCTCGCTCACCACCTGGAAGGGCCAGTGCTTCATGTCCGACTGCACCGTGGTGTCCGCGAACTTGCGACCGATCAGCCGCTTGGCGTCGAACACGGTGTTGTCCGGGTTCAGGGCCACCTGGCTCTTGGCCGCGTCCCCGACCAGCCGCTGGGTGTCGGTGAAGGCCACGTAGCTGGGCGTGGTGCGGTTGCCCTGGTCGTTGGCCAGAATCTCCACGCGACCCTGCTGAAACACGCCCACGCACGAGTAGGTGGTGCCCAGCGCGAGCTCCCGTGGGGCCTGCATGGCTGAAGCTTCTCGTCTGATGCGCGAGGCCACGGACGCTGCTGCCGCTCAGCCGTCAACGGGCGCTCAGCAGTGAGGCTCTCCCTGCGGTTTCTCTCCAGCCAGCCCGGCTCGGCTCTGCGCAGCTCCGCTTCCACGGGATTTTTATCCTTTTGCGCCTCCCGGGCTGACTCAGCCGGGCAGCTCGGCGGCCCGCGCGGCGCTGACCCCGGGAGAAGGCTTTGGCGGATCCGGTCATGAGATGGGGGGCGGGGCGGCTACGCCAGGCCAGCCCGCCTCTGATTCAGGGCTGCTGAAGAAACGCGGGGAAGGTTCTAGCTCCTCCCGGCTGGCTCTGAGCATGCGCCGTTGTGGCAGAGGCTGCAAAGGCAGCAACTTTAGAGGCTAAGGCCTCCCCGGGGCTGTGGGAGGTCGGATCCGCGAGGCGCACAGGGGCCTGCCCGCTGCCTTGGAGGGCCGCTGCGAGTCCAGCGGCTCAGGAAGCCCAAAAATATGTTACCATGCGAATACAGATATGTAAGATATATATGTGTATGTCTTAAAACAGTTTTATCTTGAACAAAATATTTTCCAAACCGCTGTTTAAGACGGTGCCTGATTCCTTCGTAAATGGCCAGAGATAGCGTTAAGGGATGACAGTAACTTTAAGAAAGGATCCCGCAAGTCATTTCGCCGCTGGTAGCATTGGTGGTTCAGTGGTAGAATTCTCGCCTGCCACGCGGGAGGCCCGGGTTCGATTCCCGGCCAATGCACGCTTAGTTTTCTCTATTCATTTCAGTTATTTTTCTCATGTAAGATTAATGACTCTTGAATAAATTAAACCAAGTGGCCGAAGGCTTTAGGCTCCTCCAATTTTGTTCTCTCTCCTTTACCACTTTCCTCAAAGGAGAGGTGACATCGCGCTGTGGCCCTAGGACTCGGGAGAGACCTCGCCGCTCAGCCCAAGACAGAATGCAACACCCGGGAAAGGAGGACGCAGTGTATGGTCGGGATGTCCCTCATGTTCTCCCCAGCGTTTGTAACACGGAGGAGCCTCCTCTCCAGAGGCCCAGTGGAGAGGCCCAGTGTGCGGTTTTTCTCTGTGGCCTAAGTGGGTTCTGAGTCAGAGACCAGGACTCAGGTGGAGAGTAAACTACTACAGGCTCCAGTCCGACCTATGCCCTAAATGCTGGAGGATGAGATGGGTTCACTGGGCAGTAAAGTCACACTGGTTTCTATCAGGCTGTGACTTTGTGATTTGAGGCTATTTCCCACTTTTTAAAATCCAGAACATTCCATTCAGATCTTCTGGTGTTCGGATTTCTACTGAAAGCCAAACAACGAGACATTTCTGAGACTTCTGAAGGTTGACAAAATCTTCACACAATTTTCCGTGACCTCCCCATCGGGGAATCGAACCCCCCTCTCATGCATGACAGGCAGACATACCACTATAGTAACAAGGGTCGCAACTGTAATGGCTGGCAGCTGGAGAGTATGTGTTATATTCTGGTGTTATAATTTAGCAGTGTATTAGAGAAACTTAAAAGTTGGCTTTTATTTAATGTTACTTGCCTGATTCAAAGGAAACTTCCATTTGTAAAAAGAGAAACTAAAAGCCCTTACTCCATAGGTGGCTATTTTCTCCTTTGACAGGTTAGAACCCACTAGGAAGTTCGAGAGACCTTTTAAGAGGGAGGCAGGAGTCCAGAAGTAGAGGTCAGTACTGTTCCTGGGCTGAGTTTTTTGGTCAGTCCTCTCTCCGAGAGCACCAGTGACAGCTGGTAGAATTTGCTGCTTCAGAGATCAGCTGTACTGGTAAGGTGATCAGTCCAGGAAAAAAAAAAGGAATGTTTAAAGAAATGGGCAATATATGACTTCCACAGTGGAAAATCAAACTGTCGTCGAAAAGAAGTAACCTATTTCATAACTCCAGGAGGGGAATAAGCTGTCGGCTTTAAATTCACTCACTCTCAGTGTCTAAGCTGGTCACAGCTGGATGCCAGAGTCAAGACATTTGCGGACGGCCTGCAAGAGACATGTCTTCACCTCAGCAGGGAAAAGCTGGCCCAGCCAGGGGGTCTGTGCCCTGGCTTGTTAAGGGATTCTCTTGTGTGGACTCTTCCAACCTTCTCTTCCAGCCCCTAGCCACCTCAAAACCCCACTTATCCACTCACCTCCAAGAGTTACAGGTATGGCCCTAACGCAGCCTATGAATGTTACCACAGCATCACACAGGCATGCTTCCAATGTGACTCACTTCTTTTAATTGATCTCTTCAGAGTGGTTCAAACATAGCACAGGGGAGCTTATGCATGCAGTACAGTTTTGGTTTTGTTTGCTTGTTTGTTTTTTGTAAAAAAGTCACTGCAGGGTTGTTGGGGTTTTTTTGTTTCATTTTAGTTTAGTTTTTTTTTTTTTTTTCTGGTTCCTGCTCTGTTCCCCAGGCTGGAGTACAGTGATGCAATCCCAGCTCACTGCAGCCTTGAACTCCTAGCCTCAATCAATCCCACCTCCACCTTCCACGGCTCTGGGATTACAGGCATGAGCCACCACAGTTGGCCTAGTACAAATTTTATACATACACTTAAATATATCCACTTATGTTTAGTAGCTTAGTTTGAGTAGCTTTAAAAATAGAACTGACCTTAAAGTAATGACTTAAATAGACATTGTAAAGTGGTGCAATGCTCACGACTCAATATTGAGTACAAAAAAAAGCAAGTTGTATGTATTAGCCCATTCTCACACTGCTAATAAAGACATGCCTGAGACTGGGCAATTTACAAAAGAAAGGTTTAACGGACTTATAGTTCCACGTGGCTGGGGAGGCCTCACAATCATGGCAAAAGATGAAAGTCACGCCTCACATGGTGGCAGACAAGAGAGAGCTTGTGTGGGGAAACTCCCCTTTTTAAAACCATCAGATCTCATGAGACTTACTCACTATCACAAGAAAAGCATGGGAAAGATCTGCCCCATGATTCAGTTACCTTCCACTGGGTCCCTTCCATGTGTTGTGGGAATTCAAGATGATATTTGGGTAGGGACACAGCCAAACCACTTCACTATAGAACAAAATTTATAGTCCAAACTGTATATATATAAAGGTCAGTGACATCCACCACCTGTTTGCCCTTGAACAAGTCATTTCACCTGTCTGGGCCACAGCTTCCTCCATTTTAAAAGTCCCTGATTTCAGTTTAAAAGTCCCTAACTTCAAATGTCAAAGAATTTACTCATTCCACACATATTTATTAAGTGCTTTACCATGCAGCAGATACTGACCTGGGCTCTGAGTATGTGACAGTGAACAAAACAGACAAAGGCTTCTCCTGGAGCTCACATTCTAATGAGAGGAGTGGGGAAGTCAGACACAAAACAAACAGTAAACATATATTAATAGCACATCAGTAGTAGTAAGTACAATGGAGAAAAATGAAGAAGGAAAGGGACATTAAGAGTATGGGAGGGCAGATGGGTTATACTGAATGATCAAGGAGACCTCACTGATAAGGTGGCATGTGAGTAAAGACCTAAAGGACATAATGAGGCATAATGTGGGTCTATAAGAACATTCCAGGAACAGGAAATAACATAGGCTCTGGGCAGAAGTATAACTGGCATGTTCAAGGAAGAGCAAGAGTGACCAAAGACAAGCAAGGAAAAGCAGTAGGAGATGAGGTCAGAGAGAATGAAGAGCAGGATCCTGTAGCATCTTGTAGAGCATTGCAAAGGCTCTAGCCTTTACTCCAAGCGCAAGGGGAAGATAGTATATGATTTTGAGAAAAGAAGTGACAAATATGACACACATTTTTAAAAGATCACAACAGCTGTGGTGGTGAGAATAGATTATAGGATGGCAAGGGTGAGTGCAGGCAGGCCCGTCAGGAGGCTATTGCAGTAATCCAAGTGAGAAATAATGGTGGCTTGGATCAGGTGGTAGGAATAGAATACTGAGAAGCAGTCAAATCGCTGGGTGCATTTTCATGTAAAAGCAAGATTTAACAAGGTTTTGTATATTTGAGGAGCCTCTGTCTAGGGTGATATGGTTTGGCTGTGTCTCCACCCAAAATCTCGTCTTGTCATCCCCATAATCCCCATGTGTCGAAGGTGGGACCAGGTGGAGGTAACTGGATCATGGGGGCAGTTTCCCCTATGCTGTTCTCATAATAGTGAGTGAGTCGCACGAGAGCTTATGGTTTTATAAGCGTCTGGCACCTTCCCTGCTTGCACTCACTCCGTCCTGCTACCATGTAAAGAAGGTGCCTGCTTCTCCTTTGCCTTCTGCCGTGATTGTAAGTTTCCTGAGGCCTCCCCAGCGATGAGGAACTGTGAGTCAATTAACCCTCTTTTCTTTATAAATTACCCAGTCTCAGGTTATTTCTTCACAGCAGCCTCAGAACGGACTAATACATAGAGTCTGGAAGCTAAAGGGTAGGTGGAAGCTCCATAGCCTCCTTAAAAATCGATATAAACTATCCAACACAAGCAGCTGCTACTTTTCAAATGCAAAAAAATTTTGCACAGTGATGCTGTGTCCCAGGAAAATGGAAGGCTCTTTAAGGTCACCCACCAAACCATCAAGGTTGGTCATGTTTCTAATCTGCCTAGAATGGCTTCTCTGAGAAGGTCACATCTTTCTGGTAACTACATTGGGAAAATAGCAGTGCAGGAAGTCAGCAATCTCCACTGACGACTCATCTGAAGTTTGCCTTTCTGAGAACTTGTGTTCCAAAGCAAAGTGTTTTATTTGCCATAGAAGGGAAGGGAAGAAGACATGGAAACAATAATACAAGTTCATTAGAAGAGTATTCCGTTTTAAGAAGAGGGGCACTCACCCTACACTCCAAATGCCTATCTCTCCTCTCCCCCACATCTTATCCATTACTACCTTCTCAAGATTTTCATCACCAAAAAGAAACAGACCCCAGATAGTTCAGTCTACACCCCAATCAACAGAGCCCTGAAAAGGTAAACAGAATGTTTTGGTTATAATGTTTTATTACAAAAGTAATATATGATCATTATAGAAAAATAAAATAGGTCATCAATAATTTTATCACCTTGAAACAATCACATTTAATTTGTTGTTAGAGGTTAGTCTGTTTTAACATTTCTGAAATCATATAGACTTACATGATTGTTCTCATGTAACCGGTAACATAAGTATTTCTCATGTTGTTACATCTGTTAATAATAGTGGTTTGATTAATTGTATTGGCTGTGTGGATGTGGAACAGAAGATTCTTGATGTCAAGAAGGGCTGAGGCACAGAAAGTGCAGTCGGTCATTTGGGACCATATTGTCTGTGGCTTTCAGGACAGGGAGCTTCGGGACTCAGGTAGTGACTCTGGAAGAGTCCTTCTCTTTTGGAACTGCAGCATCCCTTCCTCAAGGGGAATTTAGTCCAGGAAATACCAGATCCTCGCCTCTCTAATTCTCTTCTCAAATCCCAAGGCAAAACAATAGAGACCTAATGTGGTGCTGGTAATTGGGCCGTTTGTTTTTCTGGAGCTTCCGACTGCAAAAGCAGTGAATAGGTGGTTTTACTCTCAGCATGAAGAAGGCAGAAACCAGCAGTAGGGATCCACAGAAAGGGCATAGGAAAGACGATGTTAAAGAGGCCAGACATGGTGGCTGAAGCTGGCCATCCCAGCACTTTGGGAGGCCGAGGCGGGCAGATCACTTGAGGCCAGAAGTTCGAGACCAGCCTGGCCAACATGGCAAAACCCCGTCTCTACTAAAAAAAATAAAAATACAAAATACAAAAATTAGCTGGGCGTGATGGCACATGCCTGTAATCCCAGCTACTGGGAGGCTGAGGTATGAGAATCGCTTAAACCTGGGAGGCGGGTTTGCAGTGAGCCAAGATAGCACCACTGCACTCCAGCCTGGGTAACAGATTGAGACTCTGTCTCCAAAAAGAAAGAAAGAAAGAAAAAAAAGATGTTAAAGGAAAAATCTGAGGCACAATATACTTTTAAAAAGTTATTTGAGTAAGAAGCAATTCATGAAGTTTAGTGTTCCAGTGGCAAAATGTCACAGGCAAGTATTTATTGGGGAAATGTGGAAGCAAAATAAAGACATCTGATTTGTTTTCAATTACATAATTGTTTTTGGGGGTGGGTATCTTGTTAGAAAGTCCCTAGACAGATAGTTATATGTTAGTAGGCTGCTTATGATTGGCTGGGGTTGTCTTATTTCTAACATAAGCATTTACCAGAAATGATCCAAGTTAAGTTTTGCTTATGCTTGTAGTGTGACCCCAGTGAAGTTTTGCTTATGTTTCTAGTTTAAGCAAAGTTAAAGCTATTTCTAAGGGCCAGGTGGTTTTGTTTGCTCAGGAATTTTTCCAGTCTCCATTTAAATTTTCCTTTAACAATTCCCCTCTTTTTGTCATCCACTCAGCAAGCTTGAGAGTGTGACCACATGGCATAACATTACTCCTAGTTATTACTGTTGACATTGTTGTTGGGAGGAAGAGTCAGGTAGATGTTTTTATCATCATCAGTAGGTGCCCTGGGGTTCAGAGTCATGTAGCCGCCGTCAACTGTTTCATAGTCATTGTTGGTTTCTTCAAGTTGTTTCTTTCTGAGGGCAATCGTTTGACGTCCAAGTGGCTGCAGGAAAGCATTTAAAACCCGTAGGATAATTCAATACACCGGGGAGGTAAATACAATAACTATAAGGAGAATAATAGCCAAGGATTGAAAAATTCCTCTGAGCAAAGATTCTCGGGAGCCAAGACTTAACTAATCGAATAAATTAATGAATACAAATAAATATTATCTGATGAAAAACTCACATTTGTTCTTTAAAGTCTTTTAAATTTTAGGAGGCTATTGTTTTGCACTAAGCTCCTGCACTAGGCCCAAACAGAACAGACTAAAAATCAAAATGGAATCACCCATGATAAAGTTTCAAGTCGCCAAACAGAAACTACATTGTTATCTGGCCTTTGGAAAAATCAGGAGAGAGAGATAATAACGTAATAACCTAAAAACCTAATTTCGCAAACAGGCCAGTTTCAGTTGGCATCCTTACAAAAAAGTAACCTGATGTTAACCAACCAGTTATTTATTGTTGTTTCCCTATTCTGTCTTTTGCAACTTTAACCAGCTTTAAAATAGCCAATCCACTTTAAATTCTTTGTTTCTTTCTTCAGACCATTCTCTGTCTATGAAGTCAATCTCCTCTGCTGTAACTCATTGGAAATCTTATTCTAATTTAAGGAGGCAAGTGTTGCCCAGTTCTAGAATCACCATAAAGCCAACTGAGATCTTCAAGCATTTCTTTTGACATCAGTAGGAACACAAGCTCTTCCTTGTTAAGCATTAAGATATCAAGAACTTCTATTGTGGGGTGCTATTGAGGCTAACTTGCTCATTTTAGATTGTATTGCTTGAAAGGAATTTAGGGTATTATTCTATTTAAAAAACAGAGTTAATATTTGGAGCAAATTATGATCTTAGTTTTTGAGTTTAGAGGGCAGCTAGGTGAAACAATTTCTAGATGTGAATTTGAGGCAAGTTTAAATGGTAGACTGAAGATGGCAGTTGCAATGTGATGTGCTTTACTGGTTTGCAAGTTGAATGTCTCTGGTTATTTCATTAAATATTCTGGTAAACTCTCTGAGTGACTCACATAGCAGCAGGCATTAAGATTGGTATTAAGGCATACATGCTCTGTTGTAGTGAAATTTCTGAAGCTTAAAGTCACCAGTTTCAGTTTGTAGAGCTTTGGAAAAAGGCAGTTTTAGTTTTTAATGCAACTAAAAAACAAAATATCAGGAGTCAATCCAGGTTATAGGGAGATAGTAAAACTTCAAAGAAAATGAACAGGCCTAGAATTTGACAATGGATGCACCATAGTTTTCTACTAAAATATAATCTTTTTTATTCTGGAGAAAAATATTTTTATTTTCCATTTTTACCAAAAATCAAAGTTAACTTTTTTGCAAAAATAAATCTAGTTTCACTAAATTTGACCTGATTATTTATATAGGTATAATAAAAATAGTAATTTTAAAATATATTTTAGCCAGAGCTTTGGTGATATCCAAGACACTTTACTGACTTTGTGTCAGTCAACTTTAGTTTTTAAAAACTATCTAGTAATTGAGAAATCTCAGATTAGACCTTTAAAAGCCTCTCTAGGCTAAGAAGCCAAGCCAAGGACTTGCCCAATTATGTCCTGTTACAAGGAGAATAGATTCTTATTGAACCTATGCAAATACCCAGATTGAAAATGAAAATACTTAATAAGAGTTTCCAAATTCTGAAACAATCAGGTAGAGAGAAAAAGATAAGTGGAACACTTTTTTATTTTTGTTTTAGTAGTTTGTCTTATCTGGAAATGGTGTAGATATTTAATGAATACCTGTCATTTCATTTAACATAGTTAAAGTGGCAAACATAACATTAAACAAAACCAACTACGTGTCATCTCAAGGTATTTTTTTTACAAATTTTGTAGGAGACAACATGAGCTTATTTGGGTAAAACTAGGTAGAATATTCACTTTCATTAATACCAATATTCTTATTTATTAAAGATTACCCAGGTAAGATGAAGTTGAAAAGCATTTTGGCAAAGTTCTTTTTTTCTGAGAAAATATGTAATTTATACAAGTGCTTATTTTTCTCTAGGTTAATTGAGTTCCTTTAATACTGTTTCTAATACATACCTTCAGGAGGTAGAATAATAGTATGTACAAATAGCACACATATGTGTAGATATACATAAACATACAGAAAGATGCAAACAGAAATTCATGGCTTTTGTTCTGAAATTTTAGCCATGTGCCAGGTACAATAATATAAAACTAATTAGTTGGATCCAGCTTCTGGGAGTTAAAGTTAGCTGTTCAGATGGCTGACACCTTTTATTGATATTTTTGGAGAGGACTATTAAGATTTTTCTTTTGCCAGTTTGTTTCTCAAAAGTTCCTCCTTTTTTTTTCTTTTTGATGAGTCATTTCGCTGAAGCTTGTGTTTTAAAAACATTTACACACCTCGAAGGCCCAGAGAAAGGGTATTAAGCTTTCTCCAATAAGGAATTTTGGGGCATTTTCACCTATTATGAGGAGTCAATCTTAATGAGACTGTGGATTAAATTTTAAATGACTGACTAAGGAGACATCTAGTTTGTCTGGCCTAGTTCCAATTAGTTTTTATTCTTTTTAGCCTTAGTGGTTGCTTTTGTAATAGTTCATGTGTGCAATAACAAGAGTTAAATTTAGTTGTTGTAGATGCTCCTGGTTCATTTGAGGATCTAATTTTTTAAGGAGGTTAGCATTGAGTAGGTTCAGATGCAAAAAGCAAGCAAAGAATAATTTCTTATTAGCACATTGTAGAGATTTACTGAGAGACTATTTTTAAAATCATTCTTTTAGAAACCTTTATATACCAATCAAAAATGTTTATCATTGTTTCTGAGACATTTGGGATCTCATTTTTTCCCAGTACATCCCTTAAATGAACAATTTTTTCTAGATTTAAACATCCTCACTGTGACCATTGCAATTTTAAGTCATCTGTGGTAAGGCACACCTATTTCTCTAGAAAGTCACAGGTTCTGGGTCCATATTATCTGAACATAAAAATCACTGTGTTTCGGATGGAGGAGTCCCAGACTCTGTGCATTCTGACAAAGCCATAATATCTTGTCCTTCTGAAATTTACCTATCTGAGGACTCCAGTTGAACCCCCAGTTCAGTTTCTGTTAAACACCTAGTTCAATCTGTCAAATACCCAATTCGACCTCTAGATCCCAATCCAGAAAGCAGACCTTGTCTGGAAACTAGTACACTATACTAGACCTAGTGTAGTTCCTGTTGAAAACAGATGAACTTGACAAACACCCAGATTAACTGCTGAATCAAATGAGAAATAAAATTACTGAAATAAACTCAGAGAGCTCAGGACACAGTTGCAAGCCTGATATCTGAGAGGGACTTACCTAGTGACTCACAAATGCAGTAAGAAACCAGTGAACACAGTGGGCTCAGTGGGTACCTATGCCTGGTTACCCATTGCTCTTAGGGATATCTGGAGGAGAATCTACTTTATATCCTACTTCTGACGCCAAACTGTTAAAGAAAAATCTAAGGCACAATAAAATTTTAAAGAGTTCATTTGAGTAAGAAGTAATTCATGAATTGGGTGACACAAACCAAAAGAGGTCTAGTGTTTTAATGACAGAAAGTCAGAGACAAGTATTAACTGGGAGAATGTGGAAGTAAAATACAGAAACTTGATAGGTTTGCAGTTACATAATTGTCTTTTGGGTGAGGTACCTTACTGAAGTGTTCTTAGTCACATAATTATGTTAGTTGGTTGCTTACGATTGGTTAGAGTTAAATCTTCTTTCTGTCTAACATAAACATTTACCAGAAATGATCCAAGTTAAGTATTACCTATTTTTAGTTACAACCCAACTTGAGTTTCACTTATGTTTGCAGCTTAAGCAATGATAAGGCTATTTCTAAGGCCTGGGTGGCTTTGTTTGCTCAGGAGTTTTCAGGCCCAGTCTCCATTTTAATTTTGCATTAACAAAGGCAAAAAGAGAGGAAACAGGGGAGGAGGGATGGGGGAGGAGGAAAAGGAGATGACTGGGATTACTCACCTCAAATTGGGCAGCCTTCACAGGATCAGTGGAATTGGCTGTGGGGAAAAAGAAAAAGATAAGCCAGGGCACTGCTGTTGAAAAGGGCTTGCCCTTGCTGATGCTGAGGCTGCAAAATCATAACCAGACTCAAGGCAAGGACTGCTGACCCCTTGACACAGTCCTGTAAGACCAAGGGCTAAGTAAATATGGCCTCATGTTCCCACCCTTGGGGTCACCCAGCCACAGCCTTCCCCACGGGACACACTGGTGGAGGGAAGCAGTCACTTGGGCCACACTCTTTTCAGGGAATTGCTGAGCTTTCCTAGAAGCAAACCAGACAGCTTGGGGATCTGAGATATTGGAGAAGAGGTACAGGAGGGGTGTTCAGCATCAGAGTGAAGTCAAGTCCAGGGTTTTGCTGACCACATCAGGGAGAGAAGGCTGAGGGCCATTTCCACATTGTCCAAATGTCGTGCATCTTTGTTGGAACTTTGAAGAATATAGTAAGTACTCCATGGCATTAAAAAGGAAGACAGAGTGAGAAAGTAACAAGAGAGAGAAAAAGAGAGGCAGGGAAGGAGAAAGGGAGAGGGAGGGAGAGAGGGAAGCACTTTCTCTGGTTAGTGTCCAAAACACACCTAATTGCCTCATGTTTTTGGCATAAACTGACTTTCCCAGTGTGAAAAGCAGCCTCAGTATCTGCAGAGCAGCATTACTCAGGAAGTTAGGAGGCGTCTGACACAATGTATCTAGTCTCTTACCCCCTGAACACAGAGAGTCTTTACTGTAGCAAACCACATTCTGAATTCCCCTTCGAATACATTCCCCAACAATTCCAGCAACCCAGCTCTGCCTTTTGGGAAAGGATTTTTAAAAACCTGTTTATGCAGCACCAACGCCTGGCTGCAGAAATGCCTTGTGAAATGTGCTTATGCCAGTGTAGACAGAACCACACAAGACGGATAATCCAGTTGCTCCGACTTTGTTTTTTCCAGATCTGCTTTGGCCCTGGTGTGAACACAGGCCCCTGTCCCCACTGGGCCCGGCCAGCGGACATGCAACCTTGCTGCAAGCACAGTGGGACGAGTGATATTTTGCTCAAGCTCTCAAATCTGTTGGCTCTGCTCTGAATCATACTCCAGCCATCTGAGTTGGGGTCTTTGACAGCCTCTTTTTCCTGCCTGTTCCTACTGTCATGGAAGCCCCCAGAGAAAGCCCCGGTTGCCTTTGTGCTCTGACTTTACCTACAGTCTGGAAGTTGCCTGGCATCCTCCTGGAAGTTCCTTTACATGCTCCCACCTAGGCCAGGGTTTGAGTGGCCCCTGGCTCTCAGAATGTCAGACCTAGAAGGCCTGAGAGGTCATCCCAGTCACCCACTCATTTCCTCAGTGAGCAGACTGAACCCCATCAGGGAGACTGACTGGCTCAAGGCTCCACTGTGTGATGGGGGCAGAACCAGGCCAAAATTCAATCAACCTTGAGTGCATGGGCATTGGAACCAAGCTTTGCCCACAGAGTAGAGCCCACTAGTGCCCCTAGTCCCCAGGAATTTTCTCAAGCCCAAACCTCCTCTTAGCATTCCACAGACCCCTGAGCCTGGCCACTCCACCCGAACCCTCCACAGAGACAGATTCCTCAGCAAATCAAGGGGTTTCCAGGCCTCCTCCTCCTTTCCCCTTAGAATCCTGCCTCCCGCATCCGATTGGCCTCAGTCTTACAGCCCCTAGCCCTATCCTTTGCCAGCTCCGCCAAAGCTCCACGGAAAGACCAAAGTATCTCTGATTTCCTGCTCTGGAAATATCACCAGATTCCTGGTCCTAGAAATTTGAACACAGCCCTCTCTATCTGGGACTGGTGTTTCTCTTCTCATCTCCAGAGAGGTCCTCTTTAGGCCCAGAAATTAGACTCAGAGCTGACCAAGCGATTTGAGCCCCGGCCATCCCCTCACCGATGCTCCCTCCCTGGCTCCCAGCTGAACTCGCACAAGCCCCTTCCGGCTGGCTCTGGTCCAGCGGGCAGCCCTGGTGAGCCATCACTGAATCCCTGAGACAACCCTGTATTCACCTGGTTTCTCAGTGAGGGTCTCTCCCATTTCCCTGCACTCAGGGTTTCCTGGGAGAGCTGGGAGGGGCACACAGGAGGTTAGTAGGATTAGGGGGTAGTGAGTCCTCAGGACCAAGGACCAGGGCCAGGGTTGGATGGGACCAGCTCAGGCCTTCCCTCTGGCAGATGCTTCCCGTCCTCCCACCCCCAGCTCCCCTGCTCAGGGGCTGCTCCCGCCTGGAAAAGCGCTGGTCCAGGGGCAGAGCTCAGCTCACCCATGGGGACGCCCAGGAGTGTCAGAAAGGCCATTCATGGCATCTGTCTGAAGCTTGCTCTGCCTTTTAAAAACACCTCTGTGTCTCAGTCTCTGTCTCTTTCTCTGTATTATCATCAGTAATTGAGGTCCTGGTTATGAACCAATTGCAAAGTGCTTTGTGAGGTGTTAGTGGGATTATTTCTCTTTCTCAGCAGCTTGCAGCACCCTCTCTACTCCCCCGTGACACCCATATGAGCCCCACCCAGCCTCAGTCCCTGCCTTGGCCCGGTGCCTGGAGAGTCCTCCTTCCCTAGCTAAGCGCTGCCCTCACACACCACCTCCTCCAGAATGGCAACAGCCCTGTTTGTGTGCTGTTACTGCCTGACAGGCACTGGTGTAAGAGCGTCAGGCTCTTTCATCCCCATGGCAATCCTGTGAGGTGAGTCTTATTAGTGCTCTTGCTGAGGATGAACTAATAAATGAACTAATAAATAAAATGTGGGCCTAGATCTGAATGCGTATCTAGCCCTAATAGAGGGATTCTGGCAATGTCTGGGGTTAGGGCCTGGACCAAATGCAAACTGATAACAAAAGGGACTGGGAGGAGCTACAAACCTGAAATCTGCTTTTTCCTGCAGTAGATCAAGGCCACTACAGCAGCAACAATGGCCGCTACAGCAATCCCAGTGACCACAGCCACAATGATCCCCATTGGTGAAGAGCTGCCCACGCTGGGCACTAGGGAAGACAGACATTAGGACAGGATGGGGGTTACTATTTGAATGACAACTTTTGTATTCTCCCTGTCCCACCTCCCACCTCCTCCAGTGCTATGTCCTAGTGCTTGTCACCCAAAGCTCTTCTGTGCCTGAGTCACTCACCAATGCAAGACTCACTACATCCCCCAGCCTCACCTGCACAGGGTTTCTGTGGCTGGACTAATGCCTCCTGCCTATCCAGGTTTCTCCACCAAACTAATAAAGGCACATTGGCGAGCAGGCAGGAGCAGAGGAAAAGAATCCCCTTAGCCCTTGCGGGCAGTAGGGAGGGTGGACCCAAAGCCTCGCATAGCTGGAGGCATCATTACTCTACCGAGCACAGCCTTGAACAGACTATGACATGTCAGGCTCTCTGGAGTGAATGGCTATAACATGAGCCATGAGAGGAAACGAGGCAAACTTCAGCTCTTAGGAATGCCCAGGAGCTTAGGGAACCTCTGCACCAATGAGGAAGCTCTGCTTCGCTGCCATCTTTAGTCTGGGGCCTGCATTTCAAAGTGGAACAAGAGCCTGACTACCTATTACCTGGGAGGTGAGGGCTCCAAGTTCTGGCCCCTACTCCTGCTCATTGGCCAATACTTAGCCAGGCCTCCACACCACTCCTCTTTGCTCCAGTGCCCAATTTTGCTGCTGTGGCCTTTCTCAGACCTCCGTGTAGGCCCATGTGACCTTAGCGCTTGTCCATCCCCTCTTCTCCCATCCCTACATCTTGGCAGATTCCCCATACCTTGGACAGTGATGGTCACAGGTTTGGATGAGTATAGCATGTAGCCTATGTTTCCTGTGCAGTGGTAATCACCACTGTGACTGTGGTTTGCTTGTGGGATGGAGAAGTTGGGATTCACATGGGAAAATTTCTTGGATTTTCCATTCTGGAAGAATGTGACCTTCATCAGAGGCTTGTCCTTCCAGCTGTGGCACCTCAGCATGATGGTTTCTCCCTCCCGGAACTCCAGGTGAGGGGTCTGGAGCGCCAGCCACTCTGAAAGACACAAATATGATAAGAAAAAGTTGTAAGGCTAGATTCCAAGAGTTTTTCAGCTCATTTTCAGAGGTACATTTTCACAGAACTTGAAACGATGTCTGTCAGAGAGAAATGAAGATGCTTCATGACAGATGTGAGCATTCTCTTATAGGCAATATATGGGATTATATATCTATGGGACTTCTAAAAAATAGAAGTTTTCAGAAGTTTCAAAGATGCAGAACAGATATTTAAAACAATTCTGAGGAATTTAAAATACTATGTTTGAGTAGAGAAATGAGTGCATTTCAGTAACTGTAGAGGCTACTCAACAGGGCCTGAAGCCATCAGTTTTTGTGGTCTGGGGATTACTAATTTAATGGTAAATTTTGTACAAGCTTTGGGAAGTGAGGGTGGGCAGCCACGAGCTGTATTAGCAATGAAGTAGAGCATTTCCCCCCTGTTTTCCACATGCTGTTGCTGGTTAAAAAAAAAAAAACAGAGCCGGGTGCGGTGGCTCACGCCTGTAATCCTAGCACTTTGGGAGGCCGAGGCAGGTGGATCACGAGGTCAGGAGATTGAGACCATCCTGGCTAACATGGTGAAACCCCGTCTCTACTGAAAATATAAAAAATTAGCCACGCATGGTGGTGGGTGCCTGTAGTCCCAGGTACTTGGGAGGCTGAGGCAAGAGAATGGCATGAACCCGGGAGGCGGAGCTTGCAGTGAGCCAAGATGGCACCACTGCACTCCAGCCTGGGTGACAGAATGAGACTCTGTCTCAAAAAAAAAAAAAAAATAGAGCCTTAATCATGCCTCATCCACCCTGTCAGTCTGTTCTGGCTGCTATATCAAATGGGTGGTTTATAAACAACAGAAATTTATTTCTCCCTGTTCTGGAGGCTGGGAAGTCCAAGACCAAGGTGCTTGCAGCTTCTTTGGTAAGAGCCTATTTCTTGGTTCACAGAACTGAGGCTTCTTGCTGTGTCCTCACATGGCGAAAGAGGCCTTTGAGCTCCCTTGGCCCCCTTTTATAAGGGCTCTGCCCTCATGACCCAATCACCTACCCAAAGACCTCACCTCCTAATACCATCACTCTGGGGGTTGCTATTTGATTAATTTATATCATATGAATTTTGGGGGCACAGAAACATTCAGACCATACTATACCCTGTGTGAAATCTTCCATCCACATAAGAAAGAAAAAGGTATGACTTTTGAATTCACACAAGTGAATTCAGTATTCAATTGTGACTCTGAATAAAAGGGGCATTCAAGAAAAATTTTAAACTTAAAATCACTTTTTCCTTTTTGCCTACAAACATCCTCACTCCCAACAATTCCTTCCCTTCATTGATGGCAGAGTAATCAGATTCCAAAATTCAGCTACCTCGGAGGACAAATCTATTAACAAAGTTTCAACAAACTTAATAAAGAAGAAAATCAAATTGCTCTATCATAGGAATAAATATAATTTATTTATATTTATTGTTTTATTTATATTTATTCAATTTTAACAGTTTTTTTTTGTTTTTGAAACGGAGTTTCGCTGTTATTGCCCAGGCTGGAGTGGAATGGCACGATCTTGGCTCACTGCAAACTCCACCTCCCAAGTTCAAGTGATTCTCCTGCCTCAGCCTCCTGAGTAGCTGGATTACAGCCATGTGCCATCACGCCCGGCTAATTTTGTATTTTTAGTAGAGATGGGGTTTCTCCATGTTGGCCAGGCTGGTCTCAAACTCCCGACTTCAAGTGATCCACCCGCCTCGGCCTCCCAAAGTGCTGGGATTACAGGTGTGAGCCATTGTGCCTGGCCAAAAAAAAAGTATTCTGTATATGAAAGGCCAAGTACCATTAATGAGATGGCATGAAACAGAAACTAAAGTCAGGATTGAGATTGTGGCTGTGCCGTTCACTGCTGAGTTCTTGGGTCTAATCAGCTTCATTTCTTTGTACAATGGATGGGTGGGACTAGGTAGTTTCTCTCTAACAACTGTTCAGATCCCAATTTTTTTTTTTTTTTTTGAGACAGAGTTTCACTCTTGTTGCTCAGGCTGGAGTGCAGTGGTATGATCTTGGCTCACTGCAACCTCCACCTCCCAGGTTCAAGCGATTCTCCTGCCCCAGCCTCCCGAGTAGCTGGGATTACAGGCGCCTGCCGCCTCACCCAGTTAGCTTTTTTGTATTTTTTAGTAGAGACGGGGTTTCACCATGTTAGCCAGGATGGTCTTGATCTCCTGACCTCGTGATCTGCCCATCTCGGCCTCTCAAAGTGCTGGGATTACAGGCTTGAGCCACTGTGCCCGGCCTGTATTTTTAGTAGAAATGGGATTTTTCCATGTTGGTCAGGCTGGTCTCGAACTCCCGACCTCAGGTGATCCTCCTGCCTCAGCCTCCCAGAGTGCTGGGATTACAGGTGCAGCCACCACGCCCAGCCTTCAATTTGTATTATCTATATTTTTACATTTTCATAAGAAGAGTCAGAAGTACTATCAGCTGTCTCTGGGAAGCCAATACAGAGGGGAGCTATGATGTCATTGGGTAGCTTTGAGGTCAACTCAGTATTTATTTATTTCCCTTCAGTAGAGCACCATCAAGAGAAAGCAACTCCACCGCCAGCATCTCTCTGGTACAGCAGCAGCCTTAAAGGACCACAAAAACAAATCACCATCTCAGTGTTGAACAGGAGAATCTAAAACACTGAATGTTTACCCGCGACCATCTCCAGGGTTTATGCACCAAGAGTGCAGCTCAAGTAAACAACAGTAGAAATGTGCTTATATTTTCAGACATTGGAAGCAGGTAGAAACAGTATCTAAGCCAGGCGTGGGGGCTCACGCTATAATCCCAACACTTTGACAGGCTGAGGAGGGAAGATCACTTGAGACCAGGAGCTGAAGACCAGCCTGGGCAACATAGTGAGACCCTGTCTCTATAAAAAGAAATAAAAATAAGTCGCTTGGCATGGTGGTGTGCACCTGAAGTCCCAGCTACTTGGGAGAAAAAAAAAATACTATCTAAAAGCATTTTCTCTACAGACTCTATTAAACTGAACACTGTCAGATGTTTACATAAACCAAAATCAGATGATGTGACTCCTTTAATTAAAGCCATCTCAACTCACTCAGGAATAAAAGTCAAAATAGTTGCAACAGCCTATCAGCCTCTGCTTGATCTACCCTTCACCCTCCCCTCACCTCTGACCTCATCTTCCAGACAGAATTCTGTACTCCCACCTCCTCACAGCTGTCTGGCAGCCTGCCGCCTTAGAGCCTTCAGAGGTCTATTTCCTCCAACCTCTCTGCTTTACCACACTGCCTCAGGAGGAAGGTAGTTGTTTGAAGTAGGGATTTCCTTCTGCTTCTCTCACACTCAGCTGTGTGTGGCCTTGTAACCCCCTTGCTCAATCAAGACTGAGGCAAAAACAACCTAACACATGCTGAGAAAATTATTAGAAATTCCCCCTTCCCCCACCACACATGCTAAGCAAAGGGGGTGGGTGAAATGGGGAATGAATGAGCAACTCACAATAGTGCTTCCCAGTAAGCAGGCCACCCCTACTCTTTCCTGCAAACCTCTGCCTGTAAACAGATTTAATCCATCCTGGCCCTCCCAGGTCCACCCCAGGGCCTTCCTCCACTGACCAGAAAGCACAGTCAGATGAACAGGGTCGCTGAGGCTGGTCCGGCCAGTCTGGCACCTGTACTCCCCGCTATCATTGTTGTTGGCCTTGAACCTGTAGCTGGGCTGCGTGTGGGTGGGGATGAGATTCCCATTGTGGAACCACTGAGTGGAGTCGCTGTCAGGGCTGTGAGCCCCGCGGCACATCAGAGTCACAGAGTCCTCCTGGAGCACGTTGATCCACGGGGGCTCGAGTTTCAGCACAGCCTTCGGGGGAGCTGCTGAGAGGCAGAGAGTGGAAAGGAGTGTGAATAAATAACCCTGAAGGGACTGTGGATGCCAAAGGAGCTCCCAAGGGAGGTCAGGTACCAAAGAGTCCTATTGTAGATGCAGTTCAAGATCTGTGCTTGCAGCAGCCTCATTCCCTTGGGTCTTCAGTGGATCTAAGAAGCAAATCCCAGACCCCACTAAAATGGGGGAACTGCCCATGCTGAACCCAAGCTTGATTTTCAGTGGAACAGACATATCCCCCATAGCAAACACAGCATCATATTATGAGGATATAATACTGTCAATACAAAGAAGCAAAGGGCATACTCACCAGTTTGACTGTCTGCAGAAGCTGTAAAAGAGAAGAGAGTGGATCAACGTCTAGCAGGAGAAGATGGCTTCAAATTTAGCTGCGTATGTGAAAGGTGCAGGGGAGGTGAGCTTGGGCTCTTCCTTCTCCAGCACCTATCTCAAGATCTTTTTTCCAGTTTATCTTTTATAAGAGTATTCACTTCATATGTCCCCCTTATCTGATTCCCTGTTCCTCCTCATGATTACAAAGTACACATGAATGTTTGGTGCAGAATGGATTTTCCAGGGACTACGTAACTACCTCTAAGTTCTGACCTTAAAAACCACTGGAACACTTAAGAAATCAGGGTCCTGTCTCTTCTTTCAATCTGTCCCCTGCTTCCAGGGCCCAGGCCTGCTCTTTACCACACTGGTGCCTAGAGTCCAGGCAGTAGGAGTGTCTGAAATTGCACTCTTTCAGAATGACCCTCACTCACCCAGCAGCAGCAAAACTGTCAATGGTTGAAGCAGCCACAGGTTGCTGGGACATACATTCTGAGACATTTGGGTCTCCATGGTCATCCCAGCACTGTGCCAACGTCCAGTCGGGTTTAAGAGAGAAGCTTAGAAAAGAGGAAGGAAATGGTTTCATCTTCTTGTGCAGCTGTCATCAGTCCTCAATTCTGTTTCTGCTAACCAATCAGGAACAACTCCAGTTAGGAGTTGCGTCTGCTTTACGGATAAGTCTATTACACACCACCTTCTGTCCTTGTGAAAACCCTGGGGAGGGGTTACCATTGTGCTGGCTGGTATACCCCTCCTTAGAGTATTCTTTAAGATAACTCCTGGTCAAAATCTTATCCAAAGGCATAAGAGCAGTTTGCTTCCAACAGGAGCCAAAAATGGCCAGCAATACAGCCTGCTGGAGAAGAGGAGACCAGAGCCTGGGAAGAAGATAATGTCCAGCTATTTTTTATACCCATAGGACAGAAACTTAAAGTAGAAAATTACCTTGTTTTTCACAATACTTTCTCCTACTGAAATTTCCTTCTCTTGAAACGGGAACCTTTTCTGCCCCTGAAACTGTAAGTGGTTTTTCCACTATGTTTTCCATTACAGAAATTGTAAGGAACTGCCCATGCAGAGCAGTTGATTTGCACACGTATTTATATATTTCAAAAATGGAACACAAATAATAGGGTTATAAATTGGCAAACATTTTTGAAGGGGATTTAGGCACTATCTATTAAACATTTGAAATTTGTAAGCCTTATCACCTGAAAATTCCACTTCAAAAAATACATCCAATAGAAACACTTAGGTGTGAAAAAAATATCAACAAGAATATCCATTGCAGTATTGTAGCATATAAGGAAAAAAGCCAAGATTAGAAGATAATGGAGACAGTTCAAGACCATCCTGGACAACAGAGTGAAATGTCATCTCTATAAAATTAATTAAAAAGTAAATAAAATGGGGGATTTTATTAAATAAATAAAATTTATTATTTTTATAAATTTAATAAAATCAAATAGTAACTGCCTTATAGAGTTGTTTTGAAGGTTAAATAATGTCAGGCAAATTAATTGTATAAAGTACTTAGAATAATAACTAACAAAAATATCAGAAAATGTTAAATAATTTAATTACTATCTTTATGCTACCCTTTTATGGATGGGCCTGTGAGAAGACAGTGATACCCCTGTATTTAGTGGGTGGTATTTTACCTGAAAAGGGTGGTCATTCCCAGTCCCTAAGGAAGCATGTTTCCCAGAGCAGATGGAGAGCCACTGTTGGTGCAATGGGAATCTTGCTCGCCATAGTGGCTGCTAGTCATCATGCCCCTAGTCTGGACTTCCTGAGAGTCAAGGCATACAGGATGCAGTCCAGGGTGGGAAGTATAGCAACATATGCTCCATGGAGTGGCAAGTTGGGAGTAAGCTAGTAAAGACCCCCCAGGGAGGTGCCAGCAGAGCCAGAGACATATTCTGTGGAGAGTATCTTACGAAGAATGTGACAGGGAACATAGGTCTGAGAGGGTGCTGGTTATGGTAGATTCAGACCTTGTGATCATGGCTAGGACTGGAGAGATTCCTAGGGGAATACCCACACGCTGAAAATTAAATGCACACTTCATTACTACATAGGCAAAAGAATATTATCCTCACATATACAGGTGGCAAAGGAAGGAGAAACAAATTGTTCTATACTCTGCTTACCCATGAGATACAGTATACCCCACCACAGTCCAACTGTAAAATTTCAGGACAATGATTTTGAATCTAAGGTAGTCTTTAAAAAATACAAATATGTTTAAACTTTTCCTAAAATTTTTTTTTGTTTTGAGAATGAAGTCTCACTATATTGCCTAGGCAGATCTTGAACTCCTGGACTTAAACTATCCTCCCACCTCTGACTCCTTAACAGCTGGGATTACAGGCATGAGCCACTGAGCCCAGCACTTTTCCTAAAACTTTTCTCAGACTTTATAGCAATATATTCTGCCCAATCCCCAAGACCACATCCTGAATGACTCCTGGGAACTAACTCTGTGGAAGGGACTTAAACCTTTGGGGTAGCCAGATAAAGCTATTCTCAGCAAGGAGAAATTTCCTAGAAACCAACCACAAATATTTGTCAGTTCTTCAGACTTTTCATAACACTTTGTATTCTTCATTCCTAAGTAACTATTGTACCCTCTGCAATGGATTTTATATTTTTTTATAATTTTTAAAATTTATTTGTTTTTCATTGTCCTTTGGTAAAATCTCCTGAGAGTCCCAAGTCTTGGGAAATCAAGGGAAGAGATTTTTGTCCACTCTTTGGCCAGAACACTGAAAGAGAATTGGCATATCCCCGAGAGACCTATTATGGCAGGGTCAGCAGTTATTAAAGAAGAAGATTCTAGAGAGAAATTGTGATGTGGGTCTGAATCAAAGCCTCTAGGTCAACCACCCACTCCCACGGCACAGCAAAGCATGAGGTGCAGTGTTCTGTTTGAGTGTGGAAGTAGGCATCTCCTTTCACCTACCCAATGCCGTAGCACTCACATTCCCAGGGCATCTATCTCTGGCTTATGTTCTCAAAAGACAGTTCACTTCTTCATGTTGTTTCATTAACAAAATCTCCTCTTTGAGATGATAGGGATGTTGGCACCCACACAAAATCAATAATGTCAAGCCAGCTCAAGAAGCGCTACTCCTGCTTTTTTGTTTGTAGGAGTTCCTTCCTCAGTGGGGTTCTAGTTTGCCCTCAAGGGGGAGGGAGTCTACAGTTAGGCTTTTATTAAGTTACTTTTCAGATTGAATCCCATTGAGGGAGAAAGACAGGCACGTTAGATTTACCATCGAAGTAGAGCTAAAGAGATGCTGTGGAATAAGGAAAAGTAAACACAATGTGTAATCAGCATAAGTGGAAATAAATGGCAAACTGTGGAAACATGATACTTGATACACACTTCCTCCTCTGCTCCTAGGGGGTGGCTGTAGGCATTAAAAGAGACAAGGCAAGGAAAAGCTGCAAACTCTCTGCTCATAAGTAAGAAATAAATGATAATTTTGGGTCACCCCAAAGACAATGTCATTAGAGGATATTGTGTTTGAGGCCTTGAGAAGTGAGGAGAAATCTAAAATGAGAAATAATACTGTTTTAGTTTCTCAGAAGATCAGAAAAGTAATTTTTTAATACTAAAGAAGATAGAAAACTATTCATTACTACACCACAAAGAATTCAAGAGAACCAGGATTTAAGACACAAGAGAAATTTTATATTAAGAAGTTCTGGCAAATTAAACATGCTAGGACTTCTGAGCAGTCAGCAGCATTAAGTAAGGTATGCTTCTTCCAGAACTTTAGCTCCAGCTTTTGCCTCCCCCCTTACTCCACTTTTGCCTCTATATATTAACATTTTACCTCTCCCACGTGAGGATCTGAGCTTGGACATGATCCCTGGTTTTTGGCTTGTTACTACTCACAATGTGCTGAGAGTGCATCATAGTCTTACCACACTGCAAGTAGAGACCGAACAGAAATTGGAATTCAGACTACAAGAATAGAAGAAAAAGGCATTTTTGAGGAAGAAACATAAAAGGGAACCTACTAAAAATTTAAATGACATATCAAAAGCCAAAAGATGGATAATTTTCCCCTGCTAGGGAAAATTAGGAAAGGGTATATTTTTCTAGAGAAAATGTATGTGTGTATGTGCGCATGTGTATGTGTACATATGTGTATGTACCTGTATGTTTGTATATGTATCTCTGTGCATATGTGTGTGTGTAAATGTGACCTACCAGAGTACCATGACTCGTATCATATAGTAAGAGAGCCCAAGGTTTTATTTTTGTTTTTTTGTTTGTCTGTTTTTGATATTGAGAAGGGCAGGCAATAGAATTTATAAAGAACCTAAGAAGATTAGTTGTTTTTGTAGGTTTTACAGACAGACTTTGTAAAGGAATAGTTCTTGAGAGAAGAAATATGTACTTGGATTTAATATTTAAATGTATGATAGGCACTCCAAGAAGATTCAGGGCCCTTATGTACACACATCTCCTGGTGACTTGTCCTGTTATTTCAGGTTGGTGGACAGAACTGTAGCAGTTCCTTTGTAGGAGGAAATTCTACCAGGCTTGGATTTTTAGCAATCCTGCTGTAAGATTTCCTAACCACCTACCCCAACACATTTTCCAGAACTTATAGAAATTCTATTCAGCATCCAGATCTCAGGAGCAGCATTCCTGTGGTGTTGAAGAGGATTTCAAACTTAGTGCAAAAGATCTACAAGAATTTAAGGATTATGATAACCTGTGAACAAGATCAGGAATAGAAACAGTATGACCCACAAAAACAAAGATTCAAAGTCTTCCCCTATCTCTGGAAGAAGTTCATATATAGGAACTCTCCCTGAGGAAGGAGAGTTGAAATGTGTCTGAGCACAACTGCCACTGGAAAAGAATATCTTCTTTCATTATTATATTGGACATTGTTATTTTTCCTGTGATTAGATATGCCTCTGACCCATTAGAATGATGAAGTGCAAACAGAGCTTCAGAGGGGTGTCCTCAGGTATAACTGTGAGAATTGCCTAGGAAACAGCCTCAGAGCACCCAGACAACAGATTTTCATTCATTCAGCTAGTATCTATTGGGTACTTACCAGGTAGTAAACTGTTCTAGATGCCTCAGATACATTCGTAAATAAAACAGACAAAAATCCCTGCTTTCAGAGAGCTTCCATTCTATTGGAGAGAGACATAATGTAAATAATAAACATATTAAATAAGTATATAATATAATATTATATGAAATGATACAAAGTATGGGAGAAAAAAGAGCAGGGAAAGGGAATTAGAAGCAGAAGTGGATTGCAATTTTAAGTAGGGTAAGAAGGTGACAGTTGAGCAAAGATTTGAAAGATGAAGGGAACTGAGCTCACAGCTATCTAGTGAAAGAACATTTCTGGCAGATGGAACAATCAGGTGAGGAACTGAAACTGCTTTATGCCTGGAATGTTCCAGGAGTTGTTTGGAGTGGAACTGAGGGAGGGAGGGAGCGGCAGGAAATGAGGTCAGAGAGGAAATGAGAGACCAGATCACACAAGACCTCATAAGCATGAGATTGTTCACTGTGACA